ATTTTTTTCTTACCCCTTGAGATTATAATGTTAAAGCTGCTACATATGTACCTTGCTTCCTAGTTCTGAATCTGTTTCTTGCATGAATTAATTTCGTTTGGTATGAAAGTAGAGAGTACTACAGAGGAAAAGACTAGCCCAAGTGATCTGAGCAGAACTTTAAAGAACATGGGACAAATTGCTTTCTCCAAATATCACTTCATTTTCCAAACTACCTAGATTTAATGATGGAAACAAACATTTCTGAAGAGAGTGAATAATTTTTTTCTCCAATTGTCATGGAAGAAAGGACAAAAAGACTAGATTTTAGGAAGTAAAGATCTTTTTTAAGGATATCATAAAAGTAAGAGTCATCTCTCCTTTTCACCATATTTTATATTGTAAAATTCATTGAAGAAGAAAAAAATCAACTGTGGCTTCCATAAGACCTCCAGACTTTAATACAGGTTAGTATTTTTGAAAATATGGTATCACTAAGATTATATATTTATTCAGAAACAGTGTTTGGGAAACAAGCATATCTAGGAATATGAACGCCTTTAATATCTGTCCCTCTGCAATTTTTTTTATGCATCAAGCATATATTTTTTTAGCTCCTAATGTATGACCAGGAGCCCTGGTGGCTTGGTGATAAGGAATTGCACTGCCAATCTAAAGGACCCAGGTTCAAATCCACCAGCTACTCCATAAAAGAAAGATGGACAACCTCCTCCTGTCCAATATATTGCCTCTGGAATCCTGCTGGAGGGTCAGCTAGGATGGGTTCCAATACAATGTTACACAACAGCAACACTGCGTGACTACCACTGATCAAGACACTGGGAAACCTTAATTAACCATAGAAATGACTCCTATACAAGCCTGTTTTCTATACTTTGAATTCCAACAATATTATTCATTACATCATTATGTGCTTTGCTCGAACTCCATGTGTACATAGCAGAATTGCTGCATAGGATTCTCAAGGCTGAGAATGTAGCCAGGATTATCATATGAGGTACCCTCAAATATATTCAAACTATCAACAATATTTTGATTATGAGGTGGAATTTTTCATAGATTTTTCAAGACTCTAAGCTTTTGGGAGCAATTCACCACATCTGTTTTCCCATGGTGCCTCTGGGAAGGTTGTAATTGTCAATCTATTGGCCAGTAGTCTAGTACTTAACTGTGTGTCACTCCACAGTTGTTGTATGCCATCGAGTCACCTGCAATTCCTAGTGACACTACGTACTATAGCCCTGAATTCTGATCTATTCTGCGCTAACTTCACTGTCTATGACACATCTACCCTCATTACCCTAATCACTGAGTCAATCCTTCTCATTGATGGTCTTTCTCTCTTTCTCTGTCCCTCCATCCTTCCAAGCATGATGTTTCTCTCCAAGGACTGGTCTCTCTTTGCAACATACCCAAAGTATGTCAGATGAAGCCTTAAAATCCTTGCTTCCAAGAAGCAGCCTGGTTTCACCCTCTCTAGGACGAACCTTTTAGTTCTCCCGGCAATCCATGATATATTCAATATTCTTCTCTAGCATCACAGCTCAAAGACATCAACTCTCCTTCTATCATCCCTAGTCATTGTCCAATTCTCTGATGCATAGCAGGCAATTGCAAAGACTATGGCCTGGATCAGGTGCACCTTATTCTCCAGACTGAAGTTTTTGCTCTTCAGTACTTGGAGAGGTTCAATAGAAACAAATAAATAATATCAAAATTATATCATAAATTTTTACTTGTTGGATTAGTCATATAGGCAGAATGGCATCATATAGGCAGAATGGCTAATGAGAACTCAGAGGATAAAATACATTCATTCTATTTAACAAACCACTCTAGGACCTCACAAGAATGTACACATTCAAAATTTTTCCACTACTTATCATATTCTTGCTGCTTAAACCAAAAAATATTAGTTATTCAGATTTCATATATGAGTCCTAAACCTTACCTAAATTTTATCTTTCTTCCTTTTAACTCACGAAATTGTTGTTGTTGTTATGTGCCGTCGAGTTGCTTGCGACCCATAGTGACCCTATGTACAATAGCCCTAAACTCTGCTCTTTCTTGTGCCAATCACACTGTCTCCAATACACAGGGCCTTCCCCTCTTGTGCAGTCCCTCTACCCTACCAAGCATGATGTCCCTCTTCAAGGACTGGTCCCTCCTTACAACATGTCCAAAGTATGTTAGACGAAGCCTCAGAAACCTTGCCTCCCAGGAGCTGGCCAGTTTAACCCTCTCCAGGATGAATCTGTTTGTTTTCCTAACAGTCCATGGTACCCTCAATACTCTTCCCCAGCACCATAGCTCAAAGGCATCAATTTTCCTTCTATCCTCCTTAGTCATTGTCCAACTCTCTGACTTATTTCAAAGTTATTTAGCATGTATATTGTGCAATCTTTTTCCAAAAGTCTGGGTCCTTTCTCCAGATCTCTACAAGTTTCACAAGGGTTCTGTCTTATCTCCAGTAAAGAAAAATACACTCAAATACAAAAATAATGACTGAAAATTCAAAGGAAAAGCTCTCCAAAAGACTTGGTCCATGCAAAATAAGGTCGGGTTACTGTTGACACAGAAGCACTCTATCCAGAAAACTTCAAATCAAGGTGCCTTGATTTTTTTATTATTATTTTTTTTTGCTGTACTTCTGATAATCTGAGAGATAGGTTCTCATTAACTTTAAGTTTCAGAGGTATTTACTGTGCATCTATAATATTCAGCACAGAATTAGGCCTTTATAGTAAAACAGAAAATATGTTAGCTAAATAATGAACATTTGAGAGGAAGAGAAAGAGGGGGAAAGGAGAAAATATTATAATAAATTATTGCAATCAATGAAATTATGCAGGTATTGTAAGCAATGTGATTTGTATGGAAAGTATAGTAAATTGTGGAATAATTGTCTAAAAAGTAAAAATATTACAATAAATTTATTGCAATAAATGATATATGGAGGTATTGTAAACAATGTGACAAATATGGAAAGTATAGTAAATTACGGGATTATTGTCTATAATAGATTGCAATCCAGTTTTAGAAAAGGCCATGGCACTAGAAACATTATTGCCAATGTCCAGATGGATCTAAGCAGAAAGCAAAGAATACTAGAAGAATGTCTATCTGTGTTTCATTGCCTGTGCAAAGGCATAGTGTGTGGATCACAACAAATTGTCACCAATATTGAGAAGAATGGGAATCCCAGAACACTTGAATATGCTCATGGGAAACCTATAGTTGGACCAGGAAGCAATCCTCAAAACAGAGCAGTGAAACACTGCATGGTTCAAAGTAAGGAAAGGAGTGTGTCAGGGATGTTTCCTATCTTCATACTTTTTCAGTTCATATGCAGAACGTAAGACTGGACTTTATGAGGAAGAATGTGCCATCAGGATTGGAGGAAAACTTAACAACCTATGTTATGCAGATGATACATCCTTACTTGCTGAAATTGAGGGAGACCTGAAGTATTTGCTGCAAAATGTCAAGGACTGTAATCTTCAGTGTGAATTTAAGCTAAACACCAAGAAGAAAAAGATTCTCAACACTGTGCAATTGGCAGCACCAAGATTGAAGTTGCTAGCAATATCAACCTGCTTGGCTCCAAAATCAACACTCTTGACACAAGCAGTCAGGAAATCAAGAAACAAATTACGTTAGGAAAATCTGCTGTCAGGGACTTTTTTAGGGTGCTGAAGAACAACTATGTCAGTCTAGAGACTAAGGTTCACCTGATTCAGACAATTACTTGCTATGCATCAGAGAGCTGGACAATGACTAAGGATAAAAGAAGAAGAATTAATGCCTTTGAGTCATGGTGCTGGAGAAGAGTCTTCAACATACCAGGGACCTCCAAGAGAACAAAAAGGTCTGTATAGGAGAAGGTGGATCCAGGCTGTTCCTTGGAGGCAAAGACTTTGAAGTTCCATCTCACAGACTTTGAGCACATTGCCATGAGGGACCAATCATTGGAGAAGGACATTATACTTGGAAGCGTGGTGGGTCAACACAGGAAGGGAAGACCCTGGATGAGATGGATTGGCTCAATGACTGGGGTAAAGGGGTTAGGTTTGTCAGAGTCAGTAAGGCTGGCTCAGGATAGGTCAGAGTTCAGAGCTGTTGTACATAGGGTCTCTACAAGTTGCAGGTGACTTGATGGCATGTAACAATAATAACTGAATTAAAATTACATGTTTGTCATGAAATACTGGTAAAAGAAAAAAAAATCAGAGAAAGGTATGGAATCCTCATAACTGTGAATATAATGGCCATTTTTTAAATTAGGCAGAGGGAAAAAGTGAAGATGACTAAACAGTAATGTATTAAGCAGGCTTTACCTTCAATACTCTTGTTTACTCATTTCCAGAAACACTCACTTTCTAGTGTGTTCCTTTTGGTTATTTATTTATAGCAATTTATCTTGCTTTTTTATTTTTGTTAATTATATCCAAGAATCTTAATATTTTAAGTTCTGTCATTAATATGTCAGCTTAAATGTACATTTTTTTAATCACCCAATCTAAAACTCATGGCTCAAATAATTTTAACTCATTATAACGTACTATTTTTTTTTCTTTTTGAGGACAAACTCTAGGAGAAAATCATTTGATCTATTAAGTCATTTATTACCAGCAACTGTCTAAACAGACTATTTTCACACAGTAAATTTTCAATAAATACTTTTTAAAACTATTAAGATACCCTTTTATTGGCAACGGATAGACAAGATAATTAAGTTCTTACATCAATATATAATTAAAATAATTTTTCCTTTGCAGTTCTGGACACAGTAATTCAATAATACATTGTTATTTGTTTTAATGACTTAATTTCAATGAATTTAAGTACCAAAGATACTAATGTTATGCTTCTTAACAACAAAATATTAAGTGCCCTCTTTAATTAGATTTCTGTCTCTCAGGACCTGGTTCTAATCATCTTGGCATAACAGGTTTACTGTAGGAAGTACCATGAGAAAATAAAGGAAAAGCAAAAGCATAATGGTACCACTTAACACATCTCGTCCATCTTCCATGACTTTTCTGCTGTTGGGCATCCCAGGACTAGAGCACCTGCATGTCTGGATTGGAATTCCCTTCTGTTCCATGTACATCGTGGCTGTGGTGGGAAATGTGACCATCCTGGCTGTGGTGAGAACAGAGCGAAGCCTCCACGAGCCAATGTTTCTCTTTCTGTGCATGCTGTCAGTCACTGACCTGGTCCTCTCCACCTCTACAATGCCCCGTATGCTCTGTCTCTTCTGGCTTGGAGCCCATGATATTGTCTTTGATGCTTGCTTAACCCAAATGTTCTTCATCCATAGCTTTACTGCCATGGAATCCGGCTTCTTCTTGGCCATGGCTATTGATCGTTACGTGGCCATCTGTAATCCCCTGCGCCATGCCACCATTCTCACACACACTCGCATTGCCAAAATGGGAGCTGCCGTGGTCCTCCGGGGCGTGACCTTCTTTTCCCCTCATCCCATTCTGCTCAGGCAGTTACCCTATTGCAGAACTCGAATCATTGCCCACACTTACTGTGAATTCATGGCTGTGGTGAAGCTGGCATGTGTGGACACAGGAGCTACCAAGCGTTATAGCCTCAGTGTAGCCTCTGTCATTGGTTCCTGTGATGGCTTTTTCATCGCTGTCTCTTATGTCCTAATCCTCCGTGCAGTCTTTCGTCTCCCATCACGAGAAGCTAGCCTGAAAGCCCTGGGCACGTGTGGCTCTCATGTCTGTGTTATCCTTGTTTTCTACTCCACAGCTGTCTTTACCTTCCTCACCCATCGTTTTGGCCACAACATAGCTCCCCAAATCCATATCTTTATTGCCAATATGTACCTTTTGGTACCTCCTTTTCTAAATCCTATTGCTTATGGGATTAGGACCAAGAAAATTCGAGATCATGTACTTAGTTCTCTAAGATTAAAAGTCTCCTGATGCAAATAGAGATACCATTTGACCCAGCAATTCCACTACTGGGAATATACCCTAAAGAAACCACAAATGACATCCAAGTAGATATATGCATACCCATGTTTATCGAGGCTTTGTTTACAATAGCAAGGAGTTGGAAACAACCTAAATGCCCATCAACAAACAAATGGGTAGAGAAGCTGTGGTATATCCACACAATGGAATACTATGCTGCATTGAAAAACAAGGAACTCATGCAATATTATTCAAAATGGGTGACCCTGGAGGACATTATGCTGAGTGAGGTATCTCAGTCACAAAGGGACAAATGCTATATGGTGCCACTGTTGTAGAATGAGGCTGGCATCGGGGTGGGGGTAAGGCTGAGAAAAACTGGATGAAATATGTTTATGGCATTGAAGTCTATGGGGGAGAGAATAGTTTAAAAGTATATTTTAGGGCATTATGTTTATCGTAGGAGTACGCAATGAGGGTTGCAGAGTGGATTATATTTGGGGTTGGGGGTGGGATTGGGGGAGGTGAGGGGGGGATTGTGTACCAGTGAGGGAGTTTTTCTTTTGCTTTTCAGGGAGAGGAGCAAATGGGGGGGGGTGAGGTGGGGTGGGCTGGGAGAAGGGTGCAACAATGAATGAATGGAATTCCAAAATCTCTGTAGATGTTCATTAAAATGAAAAATAAATAAATTTTTTTAAAAGTCTCCTGATTATGATCCATTTTTTATAGACATGATATCAGGAGAGATGGTAACCTAAGAAGGTGTTGTTTATGTGTCTTTGAGTTGAAATCAATTCATAGCTGATCTTCCAACTGGTTTTCAGGAGCTGTTAAACTCCCTTGAGGAGTTTTCTCAAGAAGCAGCTGCTATGTTCTGACCAGGTGTCTGTCTCTGGGTTGCACTCCTTAATCACTAGGCCACCAGAGCTCCCTAACCTAGGAAGGAAAGAGTGTAGATAACCAAAATGTACCACTCTGTTAGACATAGTGGTTAAGGTGAGCAAATAGGCACAAACTCTTGCTTCTAAAAGCATACACTGTAAGCAGAGGTGAAAGAACTTAATCAAATCATGTTCAGATGCACAATCAAACTTGATATTAAGTGTCCTATAAAGGCACACGACAGAGGACTTTGACCTAGAGAAGAAAATGGAAATTTTCCTTATAAATGATAGTCCTCTGAGGGATAAATCTAAATTAACTAGCTAAGGGAAGAGCCAGTGATCTAAAAGTGAGCAAAGTGATTATTACATAATCAGGGAGGAGAACATAGCAGGTAAACATGTGAGAACCTTGTGATAGGATGGAATATGGTACATTTGAATCATGGCAGAAAGTCCATTCTATGGGCCAGAGCAGAGTTAAACAGGGAGTGCCCAGAAGTATGCCTGAAAAAAAATAGCCTGATAGATGGGTAGGTCTTGTTAAGGATTCTCAATTGTTTCCTAAGAAAGAGAGAAGAAACAGGAAAAACATGATCAACTGTGTGTTCTTTGCCCACATACATATAAATACATATTACATATATTATGCATATTATACATATTATACATACGTTGCCAATATGTGCCATCAATTATGGCTCACAGTGACCCTATAAATAAATAATAGTTCTGAATCTTGTTCTATCTTGAGCCAATCGCACCATCTTTAGGGGAAGCTCAGTTAGCCTAGTAGTAAAAAGCTATGATAAAATCCTGAAGGCACATAATTTGATTCCGCCAAGGGATTCTGGGGAGAAGGATGGGCAATCTCTTCATGCACAATTTACTGTCTCTGAAAACCTATTAAAGGATTAGCTATGAGGTATTTCCCACTTGACCACCACAACAACATATGGATATGAATCTAGAGCTAGAGATATAAAGATACACATAAATACAGAGATATAGGTGAGATGGAGTATGTATATGTGTGTGTGTGTGTGTGTGTGTGTGTGTGTGTGTGTGTGTGTGTGTATGTTGTTGTTATGTACCATCGAGTTGCCTGCAACTCAAGAGTGACCCTATGTAAAACAGCCCTAAACTCTGTTCTATCCTGTGCCAATCTTATGGTTTCTGACACACTTAGCCCCGTTACCCTGGTCACTGAGTCAATCCATCTCATTGACAGTCTTCTTCTCCTGCACTGTCCATCCATCCTCACAAGCAAGATGTCCTTCTCCAAGGACTGAACCCTCCTTGCAACATGTCCAAAGTATGTCATACAAAGCTTCAGAATCCTTGCGTCCAAGGAGCAGCTTGATCTTACGCTCTCTAGGAAGAATCTGTTTATTCTCCTAGCAGTCCATGGTATATTCAATACTCTTTCCCAGCACCACAACCCAAAGGTATTAATTATCCCTCTATCATCCCTAGTCATTTTCCAGCTTTCAAATGCATAGCAAGTAATTGCAAATACTATGGCCTGGATCAGACACACCTTAGTCTCCAGACTTACATCGTTGCTCCTCAGTACTTTGGAGAGGTCTCTGATTGCAGACTTTCACAATACAATTAATCTTTTCATTTCCTGGCTGCTGGTATCAAGAGTATTGGTTACGGAGCCAACCAAACTAAGGCTGTTAACAGTCTCAGTCTCTTCACCATTCATCATAATGCTGTCAATCAGCCCAGTGGTGAGAGTCTTTGTTTTCTTGATATTGAGCTTTAATCCATATCAAAGGCTGTAGTCCTTGGCCTCCTGCAGCAAGCGTTTTTGGTCCTCCTCAGTTTCAGCAAGCAGGATTAGTGTCATCTGCATAAACACAGATTGTTGATGAGTTCCTCCAATCTTGATGTCCTATTTCTCTTCATAGAGCTCTGCCTCCCAGATAATCTGTTCTGCATATAGATTGAAAATATATGGAGATAGGACACATCCCTGGCGTACACGCTTCCCAAATCCACTGGAGGGTCAGTTATTTGTTATTCAAACTCAGTGATACATATTAATGACAAATACACTTTTGACTATGATACGTAGATTAATGCAAGACATAAGTTCAGTAACTGTTGCTGGCCCTTACATTATTCTAGGCTGGAATCTAGTAGAAGATAGATGAAAAGTGTAACAACTGGAGACCTATAGTTTTCCAGTTACTGGGAAAATAATAATGAACAAACTGAGTTCCAGATATTGTCTTCGGAAAGTAGACGTTCTACCTCCTTTTCTAACAAAATATATCTCCCTTTCCTCCCCTTCATTTGATGTCTGCTTGCAAGCTACATCACTGATTTGCTGAAGTTAGATATAAGTCTGTTGTTGCTATGTGCTGTCAAGTCAGCTCTGTCTCATAACAACTTTATAGACAACAGAACAGAATCTTGCCTGATATTGTGCCACTCTCACAATTACTTTTGTGTTTAATTCTGTCTTGCATTTACTGTCGTAAGACATCTCTGTGAGCCTCTTACACTATTTCACTGAAGTATAGAACGATAACCACCGCACACCCAAACTTCTCCCTTTTTCCTATGTTAATCTTCTCTTTGTCTGCTTCTTTTCTTAATCTTCTTTATTGAAGAGTGTTTTATTTAGTCATTTTTTTTGTTGTTTTACTTAGCAAATATCTTCTACTCATCATTTTGTCTTGGACAACGTGTACTCAGAATGCTTCTTGTGTGTTATCAGGAGAAGCCAGCCCCTAAAGGAGGTTGTCATGTTTGGAAAAGTGAAGAGTTAGAGAAATGGAGTGACACAGTGACCACAGCAAAAACACCTCAGCATCAGTCAGGGTTTCATTTTCTTGCACATAGGGCTCCTATGAGTTAGAGCTAATCATACTGTGCCAAGCAAAAACAAATTTCATCTAGGAAATTAAAAGTTCTTCATTTCAAATTTTGTTTTTCTCAGGGAAACTCTAAAGTCATTGGATTTAGAAAGGAAAAACCATTTTTAAACTATTGATGTTAAAACAAGACAGAACAGTTTTATGACATTATAAAAGCTCAAAACTTAAAATCACTGTATACCGTTCACTCAGACTCAGGACCTTTCATCAGGTTTCTGGAGCTATAAATCTAAATCTTAATAGGAGGAACTTCCTAACTTTCTCACTCTTAGTGGCTAAGAAATACACTAAGACTATTCAGAACATGCTATGAAATACTCACAACATGCTATGAAATATCCTAAGACTATTCAGAAACTCCAATCAACCAAGCCAACTCCTTCTCATCAAGTGGGAAACAACTCATTGCTGAACCTCCAGTTGGTTCAGTTCTCAGAGTCCATAAATCACTTGGGAAGAGATTGTTAATCTTTCTCCCATGGAGCAGCTGGTGAATTTGAACCATCTACCCTTGGGTTGACAGTGCAATTCCTTATTTACTAAGAATTCAGAAATTCACATCCTATTACTTGGCAAGGACTTAATGTCCTTCCTTATATCCCAGGTTCTTTTATTATCCCAGTTATACAACTGCCATCCCATTTGCTTGTCCCTGTGCACAAACAACTGTTGATTGTTCATATCAAGCTTTCTCCAAATGCTTTCCTTAAGGGGTTTCTTTGGACCTTTCTTTTCTTATCTCAGTGCTCCACCAGTTTTTGTCAAACATAAACCTCCTTTGTGCCAGGCCTTCTTTAATTTCCATTGTAAAGGAGTCTCTAGCCTTTTATCAACTTCTACAGTTTACACCCTATGCCCTTTTGTCTTCTCACAATATAACAATTGTTACTTTTACAATGCCTTTGAACTTTTGTTTTTGCTTTGAAATGATACATTCAATGATAGGCTCTGGGGTCCTTCTCTAGAGGATCTAAGTTAAGAAAAACACATTGGCTTAATAAGGGCCTCAGGAGGGCAGACTTAACCAGTAAAAGTCTCCCTGAAGCAGGGGTGATCCATCTTATTTTGCACATAGCAAATCTCTGCATCTCAAGTAGGAAATTGTTTTGCTGATTCTAGTCCAACAGTGGCAGGACAAGTATTCATCTGCAGATCTACTTCAGGAAAAAAGGTAAAAAAAAAAAAAAATATAGCAAGAGGCGAGATTTAAAAATTCTGGAATGTAAAATAGGAACACGGGATAAAGAGTTTCTCAAATATTTCATCCAAATACAACAATCACTATCTCTTATTAATGTGGCAGTTGAGGTGTGTAATCTTTAAAATTCTCAGTGGTATTATTTCACAGAAATGAAAAGCACATTTTACATTTTTAACTGGGGTGGGTAGTTAATGTTGATATAAAAATGTCAGACTGAATGAATCCTGGGGATACCCCCCCCCGTAGTACATAATTAATCTAAAAATATTTGAAAAAAATTAGCAGGGCTGTAGAATTTCTCCTTATGGAATAAATAAAAATCCAAATTAATATTATGCTTGCATGCCAGATTTTTAGATTTAGAGAAAGTGAAAGCAGTTTTCATTGTAGAGTACTAATACCAAAAAAAGATGCTAAGAATACTGTACACCTTATATAATGTCATAGTTTAATGACGCATTCAATCAACAAAAGTTTAAAGGGTATGTTTTATCCCACTTTTTTCAAATGAGGAAACTGAAAGTCACAGCTTTAAACTACTTGGTTAAGTAACTGAGCTTCAGAGCTGAGACCCTGTCTAGAGTCTTTAGTATGAAAGTATTCTTTTCATTATACCAAACTTCTTTCCTGGTGATCCCTCTTTCCCCCTTCCCGTAACATTCAGCAGTAGATTATACATTGCAATTGAAATACAGAACATCAATATAAGAGTAAGAACTCTTGTGGTCTAGTCAGTAGGGAGTTGCACTGCTAATTAAAAGGCTACACCTTCCTGGCAGTTCAAATCCACTAGCTGCTCCACAGGAGAACTTATTCTGTACAAGGTATAGAAAGCAGCAGAAAACATACTGGGTGCTCACTTAGGAGTCAGTTCTTGATGGTAAACCTTACTACAGTAGTATTTTAGCAGGCAAGCGCTTCTACTGCCCTTGGGAAATGTAAATATTTATAAGAAAATAATTCACAAAATATATTTTCACAGTTTGTATAACTCCCTTTTACTGTTGATTTTAAGACCATGGACAGATAAAAATATAATTTATTTAAAGAAACATAAAAATAAATGCATTGGATTTAAGAATAAATTATTAAATAGTGGATTTTTATATAGAATTAATACATTGTTATTGTTGTTGTTGTGTGCCATCAGTTCACCTGTGACTCATACCGACCCCATGTACAACAGCCCTAAACCCTGCTCTATGCTCTGCCAATCTTATTGTTTCTGACACACCTACTCCCATTTCCCCATTTACTGAGGGTCTTTCTCTCTTGCGCTGTTTCTCCATCCTCTCAAGCATGATGTCCTTCTCCTTGCAACATGTCCAAAGTATGTCAGAGGAAGCTTCCGAATCTTTGCCTCCAAGAAGCCTGCCTGGTCTTATCCTCTCTAGGACGAATTTGTTTGTTTTTCCAGCAGTCCATATATTCAATACTCTTCTCCAACACCACAGCTCAAAGGCATCAATTCTTCTTCTATCATCCCTAGTCATTGTCCAGCTTTCTGCTGCATAGAAAGTAATTGCAAAGACCATGGTCTGGAACAGGCACACCTTAGTCTCCAGACTGACATCTTTGCTCTTCAGTACTTATCTAAGTAAAAAAGATAATAATGCAAATTTATCAACAGTGAAATAAAATGGTTATGGTTATAGTTTTTGTTGTGTGCCTTCAAGTTCATTCTGATGCATGTTGTTGTTGTTGTGTGCCATTGAGTCCAAACTGACCCACAGCTGACCCTCCAGCAGATTTTCAGAGGCTGTAAGTCACACGGGAGGAGATTGCTCATCCTTCTCTTGTGGAGTAGCTGGTGGATTCAAACTGTGTGCCTATAGTGACCCTACATGGCAGACAGCAATTGCCCAGAGAGTCTCCAGGGTTGCAGTCTTTATGAAAGGAAACCTGCATAAAGAGGTACAGTAGGTAAGTACTTGGCAGTTAAGTGAAAAGTCTGCAGTTTTCCTCAGTATAAAGATGTGAATATTTGCTTTTGCAAAAATTATAATCTTGGAAGTCTTAGAACACCTGTTATATAAGGTCATTATAAGTTAGAATTAACTCAATGGCAATAGATTGGTTTGTTTAATCTTTATTGGGGGAAATTGCTAGGTCTTCCCTCCTACGGAGCTACAGATGGGTCTAATCATTCCATGAGTAACCTAGCACTTAACCATCACCAGAGTTCCTTAAAAGATCTATTTTGAAATTGTATTTTAATTTTTTCAAAGCTGTTTGGTTTGCTTTTCCAACATTTTATTACCACCATATGTTGCAATACTTTTAAAAATGTGATTGACATAAAATTTACTACATATTTATTTATTTCTATGCTTGTACCATAATCTATTGTAATTTGCAAATTCTACCAATTATTTCTATGAAGAATAGTTATGTATGTGAAAATGCTTAATAAATATTAAATTATCTTTTCAATGAAGCTAAATATTAATATCAGCCTCCAAATTTTATTCCTCATGTTAAAATACACAAATAAGCATAACTACCAAATACCTTTAATTTACCTTTACCTTTTATTAGTTTGAAACTTTACTTCTAAGTCACTGCTTTGAGGTATTATTGAATTCTAATTCTGTCAACTGGTCAATTATTATTGTTTGTTTTGTCTTTATTCATATTCTCCTGTTGGAAGATCAGTAGAATTCCTAGGACCTTTGATAAAATCATGGATATGTAGCTAAGTACCTCAGGGAAGTATCCAAAGTTCCATGGCCTAACCTAGGATTTGAGGATGTTAGAATTATTAAATTCCATTTTCTTGCCTTGAGTAGTTTTCATGCTTTATGATTTGCTGATGCCAGCCCTCTACTGTTGACAATATAGACTCTATCAGTTTCTACTATTTTGGGGGAGGGGGGTGGAAATCCTAATATTTTAGAATTACACAAATTGAATATTAACTGTAATCAAAACCAAGCAACTCTAAATTATCAAATTGATTTCTCTTCAATGAGAATTCATCCTTGAGCTAGTTTCTTTCAATTGCAGAGATTCTCTTTATCCCAAGAAATAGTTCTCTTTATCCCAAGAAACTGATGTATTTACGTGATCATTAGTTCATATAGTCATGATTATCATTATAAATTGCTTGATTTTATTTTTTGTAGGTGCAAATGCTGCAGTGATTTCAAAGTGTCCTCTGTTTTGTTTTGTTTTTTCTCTATAGGAACCAGAATTTAAGAAGCACAGGTTAAGGATGTCCTCTTGCAACAACTCTATTCCTCAGCCTTTGGTATTTATCCTGGCTGGAATCCCTGGCTTGCAATCTTCCCATGGCTGGTTCTCTGTGCCTTTTTTCTTGGTGTTTATTGTTACAATTGTTGGCAATGTTACCATATTATACATCATCCGAGAGGAGAAGACTCTTCATGAGCCCATGTTCCTCCTCCTGGCTATGCTTTCAATGGTTGACCTGTCCCTCGTCAGTGTCACTGTGCCCCGCATGTTGGCTATTTTCTGGATGGATGCCAAGGAAATCAGCTTCAACGCTTGCCTCACACAGATGTTTTTCATTCCTTCCTTTTATGTCATGGAATCTGGGATCCTCCTAGCCATGGCTTTTGACAGATTTGTGGCCATCTGGAACCCTCTGAGGTATACAGCTATCCTTGATAACAGCATGCTTGTGAAGATGGCACTGGCTGTCGTGTCAAGGGCAATGGCAGTGCTCACTCCTGCGCCAATCCTGGCAAAAAGACTGGAAAGCTTCCAAACCCGTGTAATTGCTTATTCCTACTGTGCTTACATGGCTGTGGTAAAGATAGCTTGTGGAGATGTCTCTACTCACATTGTCTATGGTCTCATGGTCATTGTAGCATCTGTGGGATTTGACTTGTTTTTTATCCTTCTGTCCTATGGGATGATCCTTCATGCTGTCTTTCAGATACCATCTTGGGAGGCACGGGGCAAAGCTCTCAGTACGTGTGGGTCTCATATCTGTACCATTGCTCTCTTCTATTCTCCTGTTGTCTTCTCTGTCCTTGCCCAGATTTTAGGTTACCACATGGCTCCACACCTACAAATCATAATTGACAACCTATACTTCCTGGTGCCTCCCATGGTTAACCCCTTAATTTATGGGGCTCGGACCAAGCAGATAAAGGAACGAGTGCTGCAGATCTTTCACTGTCACAAAGATCGAGATTGACAGCCTAGGCATACAAGGGCTTTGATGATGCACATTGAAAATTATGTGAAGTTGAAGAGATAGAGGGGTCTCATTCATGTCTGTGAACTCACAAGGAAAGGAATAACCCAAGTAACAGTGGGACTCAACTAGTAGCCAAGGTGGAACTGTAACTAGAGAATGTTCTTTCCATCAAGATACAGGTTGTATGAAACTCTCATCACAAGAGCATTCCCAAGTGTTTATACAAGTAGTATATGAAAAGAAAACATTCTTGTTTATTAGCACTATAATAATTCAGTTGCAATACATAGCTTAATTTAGAAACATACTTTCAAGCAAGGTGAGGTTAAAATATAATTAAGATGTATAAATCCAAGTCTCAAGGCAAATTATGAAATTATAGAATAATTCTTTTTACTGCTTTTCTTTCTTAAATGCTGTTCTGTTCTTCTTACCACAAGAATACGTATCATGAAATAAATATACCATGGAAGTAAAACAAATGTACATATGTTGTCAGTAAATTATGAACTCTTGCTCTCTGAAGGGTTTTAACAGGGATGACAAAATGTAGCATCAGCAGTATAAGTAGACTGAACACAAGATGTTGGTATTTTAAAAACAAACAAAAGACATTAAGAAATATACATACCTTTTCAACAGGTTTCCTTTTCTTTTCCATATACCTGACTCTATCAATTTACACAAACTGAAGGCAACCAAAACTATGCCTTAGCTCATCAATTATGCTTGTATTCTGAAAAAAGTACTTATAACTACCTTGCAAGTCACTGCACATATGCACCTTACATCTAAAATGCTCTCAATTCATAAAACTTAAGTTAGTAAATCTGATGTAAAATCCTGTAATACTTAAAGTATTATTTAATTATTCCCCTTAATCCATTCAATGTACCATTAAGATTTAGCTGAAACACTATCTTAATGAGTTTATTTTTCCTTTTTTCATTTCTACCAGTTTTTCCTCTACCTAACACTGCATAATTTTTAATTTTGTCACTGTTAAGTGAGCCAACTATGATTCATAGCAACCTTATGAACAACAGAGCAGAACTTTGCCCCATTCTGTGCCTTATCTCACTCTCTATCAGGCCCATTATTGTAGGCCCATTATTGTATTCTCTTTTGCTGACAATCTGCCTTTCCTTGGCTCTGGTGGTCTGGTGTAAGGAGTTCAGTTGTCAATCCAATGGCAGGTAATTTGAATCCACAAGCTTCTCTCTGAAAGAAAGATGGGCAATCTTTTCCTGTGTAATTTATGGCCTCTGAAAACCCTCTGAAGAGTTAGCTGAGTTAGTTCCAATTTGACAGCACTAACAACTACCTCTTCCAGCATATTGCCTTTTTTCAAAGACAAGTCTTTTCTTACAACATGGCCAAGGTATATGAGATGAAGCTTCACCATAGTTGCCCCTGTTGTTATTGTTGTTGTTGTATGAGTCAAGTTGGAACCTACCAATAGCTAATCCTCCTGTGGGTTTTCAGAGACAGTAAATCACAAAGGAGGAGATTGACCACCCTTCTTCCACAGAGCAACTGGTGGATTTGAACCACATGCCTTCATATTATATCATAGCTTCTTGCCATGAGTCCAGAAGAGCTCTCTAAGAAGCAGCCTGTTGTTACTGGTATCACTGAGTCAAAGTACATCTCATAACAACCCTATGAACAACATGTATGAATCCTGTTCTATCCTGTGCCATCCTGACAATCTCCAACACTCTCAAGCCAATTGTTCTGGTCACTATATCAGTCTACCTGGTTGAGGGTCTCCCTTTCCTTCTCCATTACTACACCCTCCCAGGCATACACCCTTCTCCAAGGAATGACTTCTCCTAGAAACATGCCCAAAGTATGAGGCTGATATCCATCACCTCCAAGGTGTACCCTGGTTGCACCCTTTTCCAGCCATATCTGAACTGAGTTTGTGGTACACTGTGATTGCATAGTGGTTAGTACTCTGCATGGTGGCCACAGCAGCCTCAGTTCAAATCAAAGTCTCTCTAACCACTCTAGTTGCACTTAATTTTAAGCAAAGTGAAACAAAACAAAAAACATTGCTGTCATGTTGGAACTGTTTTATAAATGATCCTCCAAAAGGTTTTCAGTGTCTGTAAGTCCCACAGGAGTTCTTTCATATCTCTTGTGGCACTGCTGGTGGAAAAGTAGCCAGAGAGGTTCTGCCTGTGGGTTAGCAAGGCAACGGCCTATCAACTACACTTGTTGTTCTTGTTAAGTGCCGTTGAGTTGGAGGTGACCCATAGTGACCCTATGAACGAATGATCTGGACACCTGTATAACTTCCGCCCTTTCTCCTGGTTCACAGGGTTTCTAGAGGCAAGCTGTTATGGAAGTCGATGCCACTCCTGCTTCCAAGCTTGTTTTAATTGGGGAGCTCCACCAAACACTGTCCACCATGGGTAACCATTCTTGCTTTTGACTCATCAGTGCCACAGTGTTTGGCTTCACAGCAACCATGAGTTACCTCTGTACAGCAAGGAGACATACCAGGGTTATACAAAATAGAAGAATGTTTCACCCAACATAAGTAAAGACAGGCCTGAGGGCTGCTGACTAGAGTCACCCACCTTTGGCTCGGGAGCATCAACTACACTACCAGAATTTTTTCCTCTTACTTTAGGTACTTATCATTG